GATAGAAGTTGCCGAAGTCCCTTAAGACTTTCCTTTATTTGATTCTTACCTGTCCACAGATCAGGAGTACAGATATGATTAAAACAATGAAGTAACTACAAAACGTGATAGCAACATTTTAGGGAGTGGTTGTGAATTACTTTTTTCCCCTTAAGATTATAAGCAAAAGTATGTATTTAATACATTGATTTTTCAAGTTACGCAATTTACCGCTTTCATAGAAAGGAGAGGGGGGTGGAAGAACGGTCAGCAAATATTTCTCTTCGCAAATAAAATGTTCAACTTGTTTATAGTCTTCACAATGTTGCCAAAAATGTTTTTTATTAAAAAAGTTCCACAAACTTAGGGATTATTTTTGAAAGAAATATAAAGGAGTTTATTATGTTCGGTAAAAACCAAAAGTATTCTTTTACGTATGTATACAATCAAGCTTATTTAAAAATGTAATTAATACTATATCTCATTTATGTTTAGTCTCAAGCGCTGTTTGAAGCGGTTATCAATAAGCACTCGGAGAATATCTGTAAAAGGAATCCAGGCCTGAAAACCTCCTGGAAGTGCACAACTTTTCTTTCTCTAAAACACTGCGGCGAAGTATAAAGGGAATATCGATTTATAGGATATTCACATATATGCGCAGTTCCAAGGCGACGAGCGCGAAAAATGTACAACAGGTGCTGTGTCTGCAGTATAATATAGGTCGTTTCCCACGGTTTTTTTCATTCCCTCTCCGTTCTTTTCAAACAAATCCTTATTGATCCGAACGCAATTTTGCAGAGCAAAAGGAGAGCATGCTTTCCGGAAGTAACGCAATCTTCAATCCCTGTATTTTCCAACAAACTTTAAAAATACAGTGACTACGTGCCAAACTTTTGTTGTACAATATTTGTATTTTTAGCGTTTTTATTTTTCGTTATTTCCATTTTTACTGTTAACAGGCTGTTTTAGAGTCGTAGAAAGTTAATAATACTTTACTTAACTTTTTAAGAATAATTAATTTAAGAGAAGATTAGTATTTAATAATCAAAATGTGTACAGTAAAACGGGTTTTTATCCTCCTTTAATTTAAACTGCTCCAATTACACAATTACATCTGATCAGTTTACATACATACCATTGTTATTGTCAAGATCTCCTCATTATTGAGACGAAACTTCGTATGATAGTTATCTTTTACTTCATGTGGGTTCAAATCCAGGTAGATACATGTGGACTATGTGGTGAAAAAAACGGGTTCGTGGCACATTTTCTCGGATTTTTCCGTTTTCTTTCACCTTTGCTCCATGGTCATTAAAATATATCATAATTATTATAACCATAACTTATAAATTGAAATCATTCCTCTGTAATGGTCGAAAATTGTAGGTAATGGGGATTATAATGGAAACTGCGAAACATTAAAGACTGTAGAACATTTTCGTAATTTCTTTGCCATTTTATAGAGACTCGAAAAATATTTTTACATTACTTTCTTGTGGTGAATGAAACAAATTTAGAATTTAGATGAAGCTAACATTAAAGGTTTACGCGATTTAAGAGACGTACGTGTCTCTTTTACAAGAATGTTAGATGCATTACCCGTGTCACGAATTAATGTCATTTATTCCAAAACTCTTCCTAAAACATAACGTCGACGGACATACAGAAAAACACTACAGCATGTACTAAAACTATTAAGAAAAAATTAAGGAGAAATACTCTCCTAATATATTTTCTCCATATTGCATCCCATATTAAAACCACTAACTATGAAGATTTTTCTCTTGTACACAATTTATATTTATACACATTATTAAAAATTTGCATTATTTCATCAAACTTGCAGAACGACCTATTTGTAAACTAATGTGCCGACCTGGAAGGCCGAAATTGCTCAGAGAATGATTCGACTCAACGCTTCGGCCCGAAGGGACACGGGTTCGAGTCCGCCTTGGGCATGGTTGGTTGTCCTTTGTCTCTCTTGTACATGTTGTCGCGGAGGGCCTCGCGTTCTGCTGACTCTGGATCACAGAAACCCGCAAGTGTTTTAGTGTGTAGTCCTATCGGAATGTAACCGGCTGTTGGATGGATAAAGCCGTAGAAAGAAAATATTTATTTATGTAAAATATGTTCTAACCAGCTACTGAAACCACCAATCAAAAAGAAAAACATTTAAATAATGTGTAATTAAGAGAACCATAGCCAAGGCCTACGCGACTCAAGGTAGGAGTCGGCCCAATAACTTCCGATTCCGTTCATCCGACGAACATGCGTCGTAAAGCAGCCTTCCAGAGGTTTGGGTCACGCTCGTTAGCTGAGCGAACAGAAGAGCCGGGATTACGTAAACGCGATCATTTCTACTGAGTGCTTTTCCTAGGAAGCTAAAAATCATTAGCCGAATGCATTATGAAACAGTTCATTACCTTAGCGTTGCGGTCGATGGCCACGTGAGAATCCAGCGCTGCCTTCGCGAAAGCCACGTCCCCCTGGGCGGGGCCGGGCGGGGACGGGCGGGGCCGGGCGGAGTGATTGAAGAAGTGTCACGGAAAGCGATGAAATCGATCATGTTGGGATGCAAACTCAATCTCCTGAGTCCCGCGAGTATTTTCTCGGCAAAAGGTTTTAACTTATTATTTTGCTTGCGGGTAGTTCCGCAAGAGTAATTCATTTTATATGGTGGAAGTTTGCTGTATTTCCACCTGCTAGAAATCCGGCGCCAACCTACACGTCAACTTTTGGAGGGTGGGAGCTCCACCTTCACTTATCTTCGCCAGTGCGATACTGCCCCAGCTGGAACATGATATAAGCTACCGAATGATCTCCCTTAATGAGTGCTAATGTAAGTGTGTGTATGTATGTGTGTGTGTGTGTGTGTGTGTGTGTGTGTTGAAGGGGAGATGAAGGGACCAAGATGAGGACAGATGGCACACAGTCCATGGTCCGTTTTGTTATGGTACTTCTGAGGCATTCACGTATCATTAATCCAAGAAGCCACTGCTTGCTACCAATCAGAGCAGTCTACCTCTTGAATTCTCCTTCAGAAAGCGCCTAAATTCGATTCTGTGATGTAGCTTTTGTTGAAAATCAGTTATCGTTGGAACTCGATTTCTAGGACATCCCGATGCAATTGCAGGAGTTGTTGTCTTGAGCTGACTTAACGGGTGCAAAGAGTTTGGATAATATTAAATAAAATATGACACTAATTGACTGATTTTCTATGATTTCGTAAGCATTTCCAAAAAATGTTGAAAATATATTGACCGAATGTACGTGGGCGGTCATTGTTCTTACAATAAATGTAAAAAATTGAAACAAGTGTAGAATCTCCAGGCAAATTATATTGTTCTTAGGAGGTTACATGATTTGTGACCGGCTTCTAAATACGCTGTTCGGACTTACCTGAACCATGTTGAAACAACGGGTTGTGTTGCTGGCAAATAACGATGTCATCAAACGTTGGAAAATTCGACATTTTATATTATGTAGAATGTACTCTATTAAATATGTACTCTATGTAGAACTGTGCTGTGGATTCAGTTGTTTGAACGATGTTGTCATTTTGTTAATGTCATTGGGTAAGCTAACGTAAGATTTTACCTGGCCCATAAAATCATTCTCTCAATCATTATTTAATTCATGATTTTCTCGAAAAGCCACGATCTACTGGTGCTTAGGTTTCATCACGAAGGCTATGTCTTTTAAAAGAAGCATTTTCAAAATATAATGCTGATGTTAATAATAATAAGTCGCAACTCAGTGGAACTTCAGTAAAGTGACGACTGTGCCTATAATAATATCAGCTACGGGAGTGATCCCGAAAATGACACTTCGGGCACTGGAGTGTCTTCACTTGGATACCAGGAATGTATATAATATGCAAAAGACAGTAATTTTGAATACATGCCGTATTGTCAGAAGCCATCTGAACCTTCAGTAAAGCAACCACACACCTGGTCATCATACCTGTGTGTGGTTGACATACCGACCAGTAGATACTGTGAATAATGTAAGACAATAATAATAATAATAATAATAATAATAATAATAATAATAATAATAATAATAATACTTCACAATAAACTGCTAATGAAGAACACTGAATAGTTTTATTAAACATTTATATCTTTTAACTGATTGAACACGTTAATATAGGTTCTTAGCTGAACCCGAGCGTGCAACCGCAGATCGATTGGACTTTTGCGCTCACCAAAAATAGTCGCCAAAGAGTTGGTGGAGAGAGCGCACGAATGTTCGTGATGCGGACGTTTGGAGGAAACTAGAAACAGCTGATCTGTTTCAGACGGGGCGACGTGGGCTTTTATTGCCACGCAGAGAAGAAGAGTCGTGCACAGCGGTAATCGTTCAAAATCTGACTGCTTTGTGTAGCAGCACAGAACACTCAACTGAAATTACACAGTTTGATTTGCACAGGTTGTGGCTCTTTCTGTACTTTTGTAAATCCGTACGATTCATCGTCACCTACAGCGAAGATTTTTCAATCGTATGGAATATTTCTACAAGGAATTGGCTGTTTGTTGGGAGTGGGACAAGGAAATTGCTCATTCGAGGGTCAACGCATCTTTTCGGGGATGATTTTGTAGCCTTAGGATGTTTGCGGACCACCAGACTCTACAATGAAATAACGAACGAAAATATTACACTTTTTTTTTCATTTTCAATAATCCACTTTGTTTTAAATTATTTTCAAAAACATCTTGTTGGTAAAATCTTTAATAAGCAACCGATGAAGGTTCACCAACTATTACAATAAACTATAAAATCTTTGATTAAACATGACCATGATAATAATTTCAATATTAATAGATCCGCAACGGACTTCGAAATCACCCACCTCATACATGTAAAAAATACACCAATTTCTTCAAGCGTAGTATAATTGAAACATTGCTCAAAATACACATCCATATGTCTTGATTCATCAAGAGGTCGATGCACGTTTCTATATGACAAAATAACACGAATATTGTTCTGGACGTGTACAAAAAGTGGCAGGGGCGCGACTAACGGCGGCCCGGAGAGTCCGGGGCGACGCGGGTTGCTTCGAAAGCGCGTGACAAAGCACAGGACTTGCTGGCGAGCAGGCTATATCGACTCCACGCCTCTCCATTGCACCGAAGTGCTGCCAGGGCTTGCACTTTGCTGGCGGGTACAGCACTGGTTCTCAGGCTACTGCACGAAATTCGCGGAGTACCACAGGGTTCAACTAATCTCTTTTAATATTGTCTGACCTTCCACCGAAAATTTGATTCGTTTTTGTAAGGCATACATATTTTATGCAGATCACGAAGAAAATTTCAACGTTTATTTCGTTTAAATATGTCAGTACGTGTTAGTATTCCTTGGTGGATTTCCTTCTTTCTCAAGTACGACCCCTTCTCGTCTTTCAACGCAAACTCGTCCCGTTTCTAAGAGGTGCGTCACGTGACCGTCTATCCTGAAGTTACATCTTCCAGGGTGTGGACACGAATGCATTATCTTTGTCTCATCTCTGTAACTCCCTTAAGTTATTCGCTAAGAGCGATCGTTTGCCTTACAATCCACTGGTCAACCTAATGAAAACGTGATCTCGAAGCACTTTGGCATATAATACTACTAACAAGGTAGTTTTCAGTTATATGACCATTTCAACTGAAATTAAATATTTTGTATTTTCTCCTAAATGAGAATATAAGTATATATTTTAAAAAGAGTACGTACATAAACAATTTTTTTTGATCTACACATTTTGTAGCGTTTGATATGTACTAACATGGACTCTTCAGTTTTATTCAATTCTTTACAAAGTACCGTAATTGGAATATTAAAAAATAGCAACTTTTAGGTTATCATTACAGTAATATTTTTTTAATATAGTGGAATGAATTTAAGTCAATCTTCGAAAGCGTTGTAAAATTTGAATTTAGAGTCATCCTTTGTATTTCTAATAGTTCTTTTCTGGTATCATCACACTTTCAACAGAGCTGAAATTACCAAATCGCGAATATTTTATGTTCAACAAAGTGAATACCTTTGTGTAATAACGATAGCAGAATATGCATCATAGCAGAATATGCATCTCACTAGCACTTGTATATAATAGAACGGCGTTGCAGCAGTAAGACTTTTGGATGCGAAATATCTTTCCACGAAGCATTAACTCAACGTGGGAGTTAATTTGTCGCGAAGGTTGTTATTATGATGCAGGTAGTGGTACGCCGCCAAACAAGCGACGACTTTCCTTCGATAATGAGCCGAATACGACACAGCAATGTGCAGTTTACGAAGTGCTTCGAGGACACGTCGACTACTAGTCGGTCGTTTAAGTGTGAAGTTTCAGTGTGATTATGTTCAAATGAGGGGGTCGGGCAGGAAGAGTAAACTCAACAAACACAAGACACACAAAAACGCATAATAACACATGCACAGGGTAAGCTCGCCAAACGTATTTTAGAGGAAAAGTATATTCCATGATAATGAAGGGGGGAACTCCTCTTCATCTATTTTGAGTATAAGCGTTACAAGTTCACTTCACACTGGTGTATTAAAATTACTGAATGTAAAGTTAGCTCTTCTACACGGAAAAGTTCATATGTATGCGAGAAGAGGAGGAGGTACATATGCATTGGACAGCAAACCAATATTTTGCACTTTATATACCTATTGGGATTCTTATGTTAAGTTCGCTCTACTACATGGAAAGTTTCATCTGTATGCGAGCTATAAGAGCAAGAAGTTCATATGCATTGGGCAGCAAATCAATATTTTGCTCTTTATGTACCTGTTCGGATTGTAGCTGTTACCATCCGTGAATGTTCAAAAGCTGTTGTTCGAATCCCGTAGGAGTACAAACGATATTTCCAGTGACGATAGCAGTAGATTAGAGGTAACGAGGGAGTTCGCGTTGCGAGAAAGAAGGCCAGTAAAGGAATTCTAGTGGATGCCTGCGTGCTAGCAGTCCTTGCAGCGAACGAGCTGTTTAAAAATGTCGGATACCATCGCATTCCACCAATACAAGGAACCAGGGGCGCTGAGCAAAACCCTTCATTCCGGTCGCGAACACTGGCGCCAGAAGGGGGCGTGTGATAATTTACGGATCATACGGAAGAATTTGTTAGGATAACTTGGCTCAATTGAGGAATTACATCGGTATTCATAGTAGAGCTTCAATTTCTGAATGCCTGTAAAGATAATAGGTTTTCAACAAGCAATTTCTGAATTATAAGGATTTCTAGTATATTTGCTGTCCAAGTACGAATTATAATCAATAACATACAAATGTGTCCAGCCGAATTTAACAGACCACTGTCATGAGAATTGGTGGAGGGAAATAATAGATCAGCATAGTCTTTTGGTATGCTCATCCTTCATTATAGGGAACATGAGAAGCAATTGGGTTTATATGCTCTCTTGTAATATGAATATAGTATTATTATAGTATTTTGATATATGAGTTTAATACACTGAAATGAACTTAAAAATATGAAACGATAAATAGGCTCTGGGTGTCCCAGAAAAATGTGATGTATCTTACAAAACGCAAGCTGGAGTCATTAATTTCATGAGTGTCTGCAAAATTAACCAATTTTTACGTTATATTAAACTTATTTTTATGTTGTCCCCATGTTAAATTCCTCACCAAAACATTGTTCTGAGCCTTCCGACGAAGATCCGTAATTTCCATAGCATTTTATTTGCAACTTCATAAAATTCTCTTAATTCGAATGGTACGCAACGTGAGAGTCACGGAGCGTAACACTCTTACAAAGAGTCTACACTTGTAGCCATCAACACGAAACATTCGCTTATGCAGCTTTGCGCACCCTTGTTCCAGGCAAAGTACGTCGGGAAGTCCACAAGCAGTGCGCATGTGGTAACAGAGTGGAGCCATCGGCTGGGGGAAGCGGAGACCGCTGTAGCTACTTATGAACGCGGCTGTACAGCTGACTTCGCCACCGCCATCGACCGGCCTGTAGACTCCGCCTTCGATTAGGACGAATTTTCAAATATGCCAAAACGCAACGATTTTTTTAAGTAATAAATTAATACTGTACATATATAAAGTGCTTGGGAAGCATGTTGTCTCATAAATTAATTATAATGTCTTATAAAAAAATAGATGCTACTAGTGGAAAATAAAGGCTTCATTACATGATCCAGTGGACATTTTGAGGCGCCTGAAAGCGAGAAAGTGACTGTAGCGTCGTGCGCGACGATTTGAAGAACGTAGTTCTTCAGAAACGAATAAAAGGATTGTATGAGTCAAAGCGTTATTCATACGATCTGTCATTACTGATTCGTGTAGAGGTTAAGTGCGGTCACCAGAGGCGACCGACATGTGAACAATCTGCACAATGGACCTTGTAATGTGCCTAAAATGTGGTTGTGTACTCTACAAAGCCAGGAGTGTACATTAGAATGTGATACATATTTTCTTAAAGGGTTTACAAAAGCAGAATTTGTAATCACTCTTTTTAGCCGATTCTTTACACAATCCTATTTTCTCTCGCCTGCCAATTCTGGGCCCGCTGCGCGACCCAATGTTGGCAGACAAAACCACAGGTGCCGAGCTGGTGGTCGCAGGACTCGATTCTCTGAACCACAAATCCTGCAAATCCTGCGACTTCCAGTTCAAACATCATAATGCTTTTTGTTAATTTGTTTTATATACATAGAGAAAGTTATTGAGAGATATAATATACATTAATAATAACGTGGTGTTCCTATTTGTTTATTTTTGATCCGTGTGATTGTGATCCAATATATGCATCTTTCTGTGTATTTGCACACAATAGGAATAAATTTTATTATTCTTTATCAACGTGTGTGCGGTGCCTTTATTTATTGTCTACAGCTCCGCTGTCTATATCCTTTCTCCCCGTCCATCCTGACACCGGCCGAACTCCAATGCAAGAGGCTACTAAGATGTAAGGCAACGTGGTTGGTGTGGCTTACGAAAATACTCGAGCTATTTTGTGATTCTTACGATGGAAATATCTCTTCTTCTTACACTACACCACTCTAAACAATAATTATGGACGTATTTGGTTACTGGTAAAGCTGCTTTTTTTATTTTCAGACGACTTGACACTCAGGAAAATAATGGAAAGTTACGTACGTGCAAAATGACCGGTATAGAGAAAGGTCATGAGGTATCACTCGATAATATGAACTGTATGTATAAATGTGAAGAATGGTTAAAATTTCTTAATTTTAATTTGTGGTAATGTACTGCGAATCTCGGATTAAGTTTGTCAAAAAATAGAAATGCAACATCGATGAAACCCGTAAAATTGGGTCACTTATCGACTGATACCGTCACGCTTGCCTCCGATGATTTGAGTTGTCTCAGAGAACACATCGGCAACACCGTAACAGACTACCACCGCACTTGGGAGACCGATCCTTGGTCTCAAGTAAGCAAGTCTCCTTTCTCATCACTACCTACAGTCGATATCGACCGTACGCCGATATTCAAACTGCCCATCCGAACACATCGAAAATGCACACACAGACATTGCGAATAGATTTCAATTGAAAGAACGCCGACAAATATTGAAGCGTAGCTCCCAATTGCAAGTAGGCAGGCTAGCGTTTGTTGATGGAGGCGAAGTTCAAGGAACAGACCCGTTTAACTCCTCTCTTCTTCTAAATACACAAGCGTGTTCGAAGCAGAAACCTTTTTATGCCTATCATTCCGAAAACCCTTTCGCGCCAATGCCACCAACGCCAACCGGGCAACGAGCGTTTTTCTACATTTGTCTTCTTCGACGCACACCAGTTCTGCCCGCACTAACCATCGTCGACGGAGGTAGGAGCGAGAGCTAGACGGCGAACCGATATGGTGGCGCCGAATTCGCCGAGGAGTTGGCGTCCCTCAGCTGCGAGCGGCTGCGTGGAGACGGCCGACGCGTGGAGGCGAGGAAGCGGCGGTCCTTGGCGAGGGTGGCGGGCTGCCGGGCGAGGGGGGCTGCCGGGCGGTGGGGGGAGCTGGGGGGCTCGCCCGTCGGCTACGCCTCCTCGGCGCGGCGAGTGGGGGCGTCGGTGTATCACCTGTGGGCAGGCGAACACACGCCCATCCGCCACTCAACGACCATCCGCATAAGGAATGGCTCACCATTTCTTGCTGCTTACGTTCACGGTGATACTTTTTCAATGGAATCAAATGCTTAGGCATCATCACGGATTCCATTGAATCAGTAGCTGCCAAGTCTCATTTATTAGATTATGGAATGTCTCAGAATAAATGTTACGAACTTCTAGGGCATGCAGGAGGGTCAATTTTTGCATTTGAACATATCAGAAGATCTTTTCTATTAAATAAAATTGAGTATGTACATATGTGCCACAAAACGTTTAGAAACATAAAAGCGATTGTCCCAATATTTGACACGAATGCTTTTAAGCGCCCAAGAATTTAAAAAATGCGTTGTCGCAATTTAAAATGTTAGGGAACAATGTGTTTTTAAATATATTTAGTAAAATGTAACCCCCAATGCATTTAGTCGACACTGTTGCGGGGTGCCGCGGGTCCGAGCAGGACCTGTAGGAGCGGGCTGAACTTAAAGGGGCGAGCGGATAGAGTGGGGCCAAAGAAACGGGCGGAAGGGCAGGAGGGCAATGAATGGGCACAGCAGAATAAATGGAAGGGAGAGAGGGAGGAAGAGAAAGGGCACGAGAGGGAGGAAGAGAAAGGAAAAGAGAGAGAGGGAGAGAAAGGAAAAGAGAGAGAGGGAGAGAAAGGAAAAGAGAGAGAGGGAGAGAAAGGGCAAGAGAGAGAGGGAGAGAAAGGGCAAGAGAGAGGGAGAGAAAGGGCAAGAGAGAGAGGGAGAGAAAGGGCAAGAGAGAGAGGGAGAGAAAGGGCAAGAGAGGAAGAGAAAGGGCAAGAGAGGAAGAGAAAGGGCAAGAGAGGGAGAGAAAGGGCAAGAGAGGGAGAGAAAGGGCAAGAGAGGGATGGAAAGGGTGAGCGAGAGGGTGAGGAGAGAGAGAGAGAGAGAGAGAGAGAGAGTATATCGGGAGAATGTAGAGAAATGGAAGAGAGGAACAGATAGGGGAGCGGAAAAAGGAGGCGCAGCAAAAGAGCAGGCCGAGCGAAAGGATGAATAGTGGTGGTTAGACCGGAAAATGCGGGTGGGACAGATATACCGAAAGGTGCTGGAAGACGGGACGCAAAGTGTGATACGGTCATGGACTGCCACATAGGACGGTGAGACTGTGGAATGGAGCGGCGCTGGCGAAGCTGCTTAACAGACGTGATAAAACCCGACTACCCGAGCTCGTAGTTTTATAAAACTACGGATAATTAGGTAGTATTATAAAACAAAGTTACAAATGTAACATTATGCCATGTATAATTGGTCAAAGATCACATTCACCAAAAACACGGTGAAAAAATTTCGTATAACAAAGTTATATATGCCATAGTTACTCCTGATTGCTAGGCAATTCTTCGTGCTCTTATGTTTGGCATTTCACGTTTTGCCGCAGTCAAAAAAATCGTTAACCTGTTAAATTTCAATGCATCTTTGACTCCTTTACATATGTTAGAAATTTGTAATATTAATTTTGAGACACCTATATATGTTTGAGGGTTTATCCGAAGAAACTATTCGCTCATATAATCAAATATATATAAATCGAAATCTACAATTTTGATGCAAGTTTCCTAACGGTATAAAAATGGAATGATATTGAAGCTCGAGAAAATAGTCTGTGGTAAAAAGTTGTTCATCAGGTTATTTTATCAGTCGATAAGGTATATTAATTTGCACAGGTACCGTCATGTGATGTGTGTTGTAAGTAGCATTTCGTAAACGCAAAAGTCACATTTTAAGAGCAGTATTTTCAGTTTGACACATTAAAGGTTTTGGGAAACTTCTGATTTGTGAAAAATAACTTCGGTACCATTCACACATTATTTAAATCTATGAGCGTTACATTCATTTGTATGGCAGCGCACTGATTCCAACAACACTGCACGTGACAAACACATGACAGGGCAAGAATCAGTATTAAAATGAAATATTATTATTTTAATAACAGCATGTTTTTTAGAAAAATACTCAAATTGGTTGTGATATTTTAAAATGTTCACTTTCCTTTGATGTTTATCTCATTTTTATTTGTAGGAATAAGTCGTGATTTCGAACGTAGAAAATGATTTAAAAGTATTATTACTGTTTATAAATATGTTATATTCAGGGGTAAAGAAACAAATATATCAAATAAAATTAAGTATATATACTATCTACGAAATGATACACTTTGGTGCATATATTAATTTAATAGGTTAATTGTGAAATAACAGTACCATCCCAATTCAGCAGACGTGCCATGCACATCATGCATCAACGGAGTGCAGTACCGCATGTAGTTTGCTGTGCCACTGGCGTCACCCATGCGCTGTAAGGTAGCATGCGGAGTGTAAGTGCTTGGACGTGCTGTTAATGTCCACGATTATAATCTCAATGGAAGCAATTAAGAACATCCTCGCGTGGATGTGTTTCAGTAGCACAAAAAGCAATTCAAACAGAATAAATAATAAGCGTGCAAAATTATCATGTAAAACACTTGAAATATTGAAAATATACACTGGCAGAAATGAGATAAAAAATGTAAGTACCAAACAACACGAAACTCTATTCATTCGATGGAGAAACTGTGTTAAAATTTTATATGTTAATAAGCGTCCATAACTCGAATATCAAACTGCTGGGACGCAATGTCGTTACGTGACGTATATTTGGTTCAATAACAACTGTTTTGCAGTAGAAAGTGCACGGTGAAACATTGGTGACGAAACAAATAAACATAAAAACGCAAACACACACGAGAGTCAGCCATCCAAAAATAATGGCACAACGTTCATGTTGGCCGGCAGTTCCATTAAAACACCAGGTACATCGGTTTTATCAAGCACAAAAACGGAAGCTAATAGGAAATTTGTTAGTCAGACACGGCGTGTGATCAGAATTGACTTGTATAAATTCATGAAGTGAAGTTCAGTTATGTTTCCATTCAGTTTTATCGCTGTTATTTCCAGAATGTGGGTAAAATATCTTTCTAAAATAAATTCATAATTTATGACCGCAAGATAAACAACTACATTCAAATGGCGGTTGTATTGTAAACGTACAACTCATACTATTCTCTTGTACTCTGTAGAGCACTGAATATCAATACAAACGAAATATATTATCGGTTTGCAATAATTTAACTTCTCAATATTTCGAAAAAGAAAAGTCAAATAATAAAATCTGCTCAAGTCTTGATGTGAATATAAAAATATGAAGAAAAAAAAATCACTATACAAAGTCGTTACCACCAGTCATTAAAATTTAATAAAGGCTGAAAACAAGGGTTTTCAGAACACATACGTTACCATAATAATCGTATTATGTTATGCAGTAATGAGAAATGCAAAGTAAGATTTATTGTAAAAGCATATGAACGTCAAAGAACTCATATCGTTTAAATTGACACAAGTCAACAGCGATGGTCGTATTTAGGAAAGTGGCTTTTCAGATTCACTTTCTATGAAGCTCTATATTGGTTTTATTTTTATTCTTTCTATTAGGAGTATTGAAAAGTGTTTGCAATTCTCTTTTTTGAAAGAAGATTACTTTGCAAGAACACTAGTTCTTTGCAAGAAGAAGAAAATGATAAAAGCTTGAAAAAATGTATAAATAACATAAACAAAAGAACGCAATTCTGAACAATGAAGAAAACATAGCTTTAGAGGCCATTTTATTGTTACGAAAGTTTTCAGAATGTTTCTAAAATGTTAGCGGAAATATAACAGAGATTGCTTCTTTTCCGGACCAAATATAGCCAGCCTAAATTGTCAAATATTACAATGACCTATCTACGGAACACAGGAAAGAAATAAACACATGCAGAAAATGCCACTAGTTCATGCACATCCCTGCACCGACAAGCATGCTAAAAGCGAACGCCACAGACAGCAAGAGGCCACGAAAAGCGGGGCAGGAAGTGGGCGTGGCTCGCACCTGGAGATGAGGATGGTGTCGACCTGCGTGAGGCGGCGCGCGCGCTCGTCGGGCAGCCGTTGGTGGCTGGGCACCAGCGTGCAGCGCGTCGAGTGACGCGGCGGCGCGTGTAGACGGATGCGCTCTCGCCGCCCGCCGCCCCCGCCCCCGCCGCCGCCGCCGCGCGCCCCGCGACCGCAGCAGCCGCCGGTGCCGCACACGCCGCCCGCGCCGCGCTGCCGCCACAGCAGCACCGCCCCTAAGCACGCGCGCGAGCGCACGGCTCAGCAGTCCAGTTTCCAATGCTCGATTTGTTTTATTCGCGTGTTGGCTAACTCGCACCACGCGTGCCTCCTGCTTCAGCAGGTGTAAGTACCACTATCTGGGGCAGTATTTTAGATGAATCCCGATTTTTATCCCCTGAGGATGTTAGCTTCCGGGGTATGGACGATGAGATGATAATAGTGAGAGATGAAAGGACAACACACACATACAGACACACACAAATACACTTCTGCCCGCGGTCTTCTGGTCCGAGGCCGCTACGGCACTACTGCTCTAACTACATCGCTACATTTTCTGTCATGGTAAATAATAATCTGGTCGACACACTCACGGTTCAGCATTCCAGTTTCCAATGCTTGAATTATTTTGTTCGCGTATATGCTAACTCGCACCACGCGTGCCTCCTGCTTCAGCAGGTGTAAGTACCATTATCTGGGGCAGTATTTTAGATGAATCCCGATTTTTATTCCCTGAGGTTGTTAGGCGTGGCATGGACGATGATATCATGATAATAGTGAGGGTGAAGGAAGGACACACACATAAAGACACACACAAACAGCTATGCCTGAGGCGGGACTCGAACCCGCGGTCTTCTGGTCCGAGACCACTACGGCACTACTGCCCTAACGATCTCGCTCCATCTTCTGTCCAATGCTTGATTATTCCATGGTAAATTATAATCTGGCCGGCCTAAATTTTTCTCTCTCTAGGTCTATAGTCATGACGTTGCTCCAGATCCTGCTGTGTTATCTCTGACCCTAAGGGCCGGCGGGAAAGTACACCGGTTAACGATGGAGGAGTCAACACGCCACGCATTTAAAATATACACGAGTTTATTAGGGTGATATCATATTGACACATCTGAATGCATATTGAGACATCTTTGGAAGTGAAAAAAAAATTAAGCCGAAACACGCTTTACGTTATGAAAAGTACAGCAATTTTTTAAGCAAAGAGCGTGTACTCATTTTCCAAGTTGAAAAGAGAGGACAAAGTAACTTCACTTATCATTTACCAATTCCAAAATTCTTCGAATGTATTCTGAACCTTTTTGAAAAAGTATTGAACTACCAAATGAACTCTGGACGGATCTCTGTTTTCGTGATTTGATCCCAAGCTTGCGAGGTCTCCTAAATCTCATGTCAAACATTGAGCGACAGCATGCTGATGGTGTGTGCTGGTTTGGCACAAATCCTAACTGCAGGCTGTTCCACATCGTGTTCCTACATCCGACGTTGTCTTGCTGCATTAGATCAGGAATACATGACATGTGACCGGTCGGACGCTAGTGGCTCTACAAATGGCGGTTGTGTTCATGTTTCGTTACGAGAGATGTCTGTGTTAGAGCTCTAAATGATAGAAAATAACTGTGTGCGTTTGATTTTTGGGAAGTAATATAAAATTTCTTAACATTTCACTGAATAATCGTAAATTAACTTTCTTCGGGTCTTTTCTTACTGACATCTTGAACCGCTTTTTATTTTGAAGGATTCTGTTCTAAAGAGATTCTATTTTGATATCTGTAATGTGTGTAATTCTTACACTTAAAAATTAAACATTTTTACATGATTAAAATGATTACAAGTTAACATGATACTACGTGGCTAGGCCAAAGACTTCTAAACCATTACATTACCATACAATTAGTTTTCTGAGTATTTCTGGAAACAATATTTAAGCATATTTTTTCAATGAAAAGAAGATAGTATTTTGACTTTTCATTTGGATACATCTTTGAGATATGCACTTTATAAATTTATGATTTACTATGCGGAAGAAAATATTTGTATTTTTACTATTGTGTTATAAACCATTCATTTAAATTGGCAAAAATAAAAATAGAGAAAATTAGTTATCTTAAATGCTTTAAAATAACTCGCCACAAGTTGCGTCATATGACAGACGCTTTTGTAATCTAGGGTTAACTATTAGATTTCCTGACATTTTTAAATAGCACATTTAGAAGTTTAAAGGGCAAAAATGAACGGATAAAACGCATATACAACTGACATTTCAGCCAATATATGTACTCGTTAGGTCCTCTTCAGGAGAATATACCAAATAATATATATTATGTCACATAACATTATTTCATTATATATTTTTATATTGTAGTATGAATTTTCAAGTAAAAAGGGCCATATATTTCGTTTGGTCGAAACGTCGAATAAGTTAAAATAAATTTTTGATGTATTGAGGTTATGAATTTTGCTTTGTAATATAATTATGGAGACTACTCCACTCGTGAAAATAAAACCAATAGTATTTAACTATACACATAAAATGGCAGAATTTGGGCGGTGTATCTCAAAATATGTACCACCTTCCTATCGGATTTTTCTTACCACAACTCCTTTCTGGCCAATAATAAGCTGCGACTCGTCTATCTTAACAGACGGTATGTATTGATCGGCGTGTTGGTATGCAATTAACTGCGTATTTACTATAACATATACTCTTTTATTTTAACATGCTTTCAGTTCTTTTCAATATTTTGCGCATTTCGGACCCGTTGGACGTAGTTTCATTCGTGGAATAGTCATAGGTAATACCACGAGTGCTTTGTAAAATTGTTGATATATACTCGACTCGCGAAGCCAGGAAGGAATTTATCTGAGCATTTCCAAAGCACGAGTGGTATTTAATAGAACTATTCCACGACTGAAATTACGTCCAACAGAGTTCCAAAATGTGCCAAATACTGAAAATAACTGAAAGCGTATGTTAAAATCAGAGATTATGTTATAATACATTCGCTGTTTATTAGACATTGACATAGCGATCGATGTATAACATAGATGAGTCACAGTTTATGATTGGCTAGTAAGTAGATTCGGTAAGAAAAATCTGATAGAAAAGAGATACCTTTTTGAGATACACAGCTCTCATTGGGACATTTTGTATGTATAGTTAAACACTATTCGTTTTAATTTCACTCGTGGAACAGTCCTATTAAATACCACTCGTACTCTGGAATTTATCAGATAAATCTCCATCTCGCTACGCGAGTCTATCTTGCTTCGGGAGTCGGGGATTTATCGACAATTTCTGGACAAAAGCACTCGTGGTTAGCTATGATACCGTGTCTACTATACTGGGACTTGATGAGCGCATGTCTTACCGACGAGCATCCAGGCGAGCTGCGCGGCCCAGACGCCGCCGACGAGCGCGTGCGCCAGCAGCAGCAGGTCGAGGGCCGCGGCGGCGGCCGGCAGCCAGGGCACCAGCGGCACCAGGCGGTGC